CTACCTGCCCCCGGGGGCGGCGTAGAGGCCGGAGGGGGCGGCGAGGGTGGCCTGGCCCCCGGCGGAGGCCGCGGGGAGGGCGGCCTGGAAGAAGTAGGTGGGGTGGAAGCCCGTCTGGTCGGCGTAGTAGTCGACGGTCATGAGGCGGCCGTCCGGCAGCAGCACGAAGTACCTGCCGGCGGTCGTGGCGCCCTCGCGCCCTTCCTGGTGGCCGAACTGGACGGGCTGGCCCAGGCCGTCCACGGCGCCCACGCTGTACGCGTAGTTGTAGGGTGCGGGGGCAGGGGCGGGGGCAGGGGCAGGGGCAGGGGCGGGGCCGGGGGCAGGGGCAGTGGCAGGGGCAGGAGCGGGAGTAGCGTAGTTGTACCCCTGGGGGGCTGCCAGGCACAAGGGGGCAGCGAGAGCCACGAACAGGACGACGGCGATCTGAAGATGGAAAAAGATAATGATAATAAGTAATTCAGACGCCATGGCGCCCACAGCGCGCGAAGAGACGCGTGATGACCCAGAAGGAGGACACACTAACCTTCATGGCGGCGGAAAGGAGACTGTCGTGGAGCCCATTGGCGCTGCTCTATATAGTCCCGCCCGGTCTCCCTTTCGCACACGACGCGAGGGAAAGGACTCACGGGGGATCCTTGCTCCTTCTCGTAAGATAAGGTGACGTACGTGCATTTACGCTCGTATCTTCTATTATCAGAAATTATTTGTTTATTGTTTTTATGATTTCTACGCTTTCCGATTATTTTATCTGCTCATGCCTTCATCTTATTCATCCCACGCCCTTCTCTTTCTGCTCCATTCTACTTCTTGCGCAATAGCGAAATAGATTATTTTACGTATTAAAACTTTTTTGTCCTTTATAAACATAACTGGCCAATTCAGGTCAATTCAGATGGTAAAAGATCTTACAGGATTCTGCAGTTCCATCCTTGTCTATCAAACCGACTATTTCGTGTTGATGCAAATTTCCAGGGACTTCAATGTTATGGTTCCTTCAGACTTCCTTTTTTTACTGTCCCTTTGTGCCAATTTTGTTCACTCATTTAAGATGTGGTTTCTGCCTTCGTCAATTTCTCCACATGTTCTGCATTAAATTCATCTCTCGGAATTGGTCAAATTTCAATATGTTCTTTAATGCTTGTTCCGAAGTGCCTTTGCAAGACTCTCTGTCTCTCGTTCCATACCTGCTCTCTTCTAACTACTCTCACTGATGTTCTTCATTAACGTACTCACTTTGCCTTACATATACGTGTACTGATTTGTCTTTCCAGCTTCCCTTTATGTCCCTCTCTCGTCTCTTTTATATTCATCTCGTAATGATGATGAAAATAATACAGATAAATTTATCTTACTTGCTACCCCCGCTGCAATTAATCCCTTCTCTTTGCCAGTTATTAAATATTTGGCTAATTCAATCAATGTCTCTGCGGGGAGGTAAATTCTCTCTGCAAAAGTAGTGCATTGTGTGTAGTTAATACTCATTATTTTTATTATTATTGTTATTGTTGACGTTGCTATTATCATTATTACCATCATCATTTATTATTATTATTATTATTATTATTATTATTATTATTATTATTATTATTATTATTATTATTATTATTATTACTACTACTACTACTACTACTACTATTGTCATTATCATTATTATTATTATTATTATTATTGTTATTATTATTATCATTATCAATACTATAATATTATCGTTATTTTTGTTGTTATAGTTGTTCTTTTGTCATCAGCATTTTAGCACCATAATATTAATAATGATAATAAGGAAGTTAATAATAATAATGGTAAAGGTGACAAAATAATAACAATAATAACTATAATAATTATAATAATAATGATAACATGATGATGATAATAATCGTGATTATGATTAGCAATAATCATGATAATTATTAGCAATTTTATCATTATTGTCGTTATCATTGTTATTATTATCAATACCATCATCTCTCCCTCTCTTTTGCTCTCGCTTTCTCTCTCTCTCTCTCTCTCTCTCTCTCTCTCTCTCTCTCTCTCTCTCTCTCTCTCTCTCTCTCTCTCTCTCTCTCTTTCTCTCTCTCTTTCTCTCTCTCTCTCTCTCTAATAATGATAGTAATAATGATAACACCTATGATGATATTGATGATGATGATGATAGTACTACTACTAATAATAATGATAATGATGATGACAATAATAATAATAATAATAATAATAATAATAATAATAATAATAATAATAATGATAATAATGATATTATTAAAGAAAAATGATAAAATTAACAATAATGGTAATAACAATGATAATGATGATAATGATAATTATAGTGACAGTAATAACAGTAATGATAATAATGATGATGATGATGATAATAATGATAACAGTAGTAATAATAATGATAATGGTAATGATGATAATAATAAACTTAAACTTAATGATAATCATGATACCAATAATTATGAAAACGTGTGTGCTTGTGATTATCGACATAAATGAATAAAAA